GAAATCTCTGGTTTAGCCGCCATCTTTAATAATAATTATTAATAATTATTTTTAATTTAAATGATTATCAATCAATGAATTTAGATCTTTTAAAACTACAAAAAGAAGATTGCTAATAATAATAAACTCAAACTTTATTAACGTCTTCCTTTCTTCTTTTTGTTTTGCTTCTTCTGTGGTTGAGGTGGCTTTGCCGGGCGAGAAGCAGTAGCTTTAGCTCCTTCATCTTTGGTCTTGCTTGCATCAAGTTTAGCTGCAGTAGCAGCCATTGAAGCAGACATACCTTGAGTGCCCCGACCAACAGAAGACGCTTGACCTTTCTTCTTTGATTTACGATAATAAGACCTCTCCCTTAAAGGTAGCCATCGCTCTGGATCAATCGGTTTAGTCAAATCGACATTCTTGGGCAGAACCTTCTTTCGCTTTTTCTTCTTTTTCTTATCCTTTACGCTGATTTCCTTATTCGGAGCTGCTGTGGTAATCCTTGCCCTCCTGCTGTGCTGGAATGTTGGCATCTGTTCCAATTTATCTGCATCATCAGACGATAACGATGACAACTGGGGCAGAGACCGGCTAAGTTCTTCGGCTCTTTTTGTATCGAAGCGAGAATAAGCTCGGATAAGGTGCGAGAGATATTTGAGATTTTTCGGTTGCTTCTTATTCAAAACTTGAAGCAATTTAGCAGCATCTTCCTCTCTGCTGGCCTCCAACTTAAACTGAGCTATCTCCCACAATACAGCCGAGAGATTATCATTATCAATTTGACTCCAGTAACTTGATACTTGATCCAACAGTGAGAGGCATTCCTCTATCTTCCCTTCGCTCTTCAGTACTAAAACTATTATCGATATAATACCTAAATATTGTCCTACATTAGGTATACCCTCTAGGACATTAATGGCTTTACTGCTATTGCCAATACTCCAATACAATTGAGCTAGTGTGAGATACACTAGAGGCTCAGTGCTGCTACACACTGGGCTATACCTCTCCAATATGCTGATGGCTTCTTGTGGTTTACGGTCCCGATACAGTAAAGCTGACTCAGCTATGATGCATAATTCTGATCCACGTGTAGCAACACTCGTCTTCATTTCTTGGAGGATTTGGCGTGATTGCTCCAACTGGTTCAAACGCAAGGCGAAAAGGCAACGATTGAATAAAACGATTTCAAGTTGGCGTGACATTAGCTTCTTCACAGCCGCTTCATTTGTTAGCACTTTTATCTTCTTCTTGCTATCAAATATATCTTTATCTCCATTAATAACTATGACGTTGTTAGCAGCTGTCAACTGGTGGACAGGAGTGGGCTTTGACTTCAAAACATTAGCGTATATACTCAAGGCTTCTTCATTGGATCCCATACATTGTAACGCATACCCCAACTGGATGCGTATCGGCAACAAATCCCTCTCTATCTCCTCCTCTTCCATGCTGTCTGACTCTTCACAAAGCTTCTCTGCCTTTCTGAGGAGCTGTTCGGCATTTTTGTAATCTTTCGTAACGTTAAGATAAACCGTAGCTAAATTAAAACATTGTTCTACAGTGACAGGCGATACAGGAGAAGCGGAGAGGACTTTATTAACAGTGGAATTATCGAGATAGCTCAAACTAGCAACCATATTAGCACTACGCTCGTTACCATCGTCTATCGAGAGACCCTCTTGAAAACCTTGAGCCGATTTCGTGTAGTTACCCAAACGATAATAAACCTGAGACTCCAAATCAAGCACACGCAGGGACTTTCTTTCCTCTTGGGGTAGAGACTGTAGACATTGTAGACTCTTCTCGTATTGCTCCATTTTGTACAGGCAGTAAGCTTTCTCGTACAAGAAAGACTTGCCACTTCCAATCTCTTCTATGAGTGACAATGACTCGCTAAATTCAGATTCTTGTATTAAGCAGACGATCTTACAAGCTAGGGCGTCGGGATCACGAGGAGACAGTTTAAGTATCTCGTCGATGACTTCCAGGCCGTATTCATAGTCCCCGTCTTCCCCAGCGAGCTGTAACTGAGTGAACAACTTTGAAAGAGATGCTTCTTTGTTAGCCGCCATTTTACTTACACGTGCACAGTAGGCGTGGCTCTATTTAATTAACAATAATTATTAATGCAATTAAAATCAATTAACACTATTATATAAAACTGTCTTCTTTTAATTTATATGATTATTTCTTCTCTCTAAATTTCAGCTACGGGACCATATTTAGGATCAGTAGGTCCCTCAGTGATTGTCGATAATAATGGCTGACATGCTGTACCAGTGTCTATATCTGGAGCCTTCCTTGCAAACAACAACTTAATGTCAGTATGTAAATAGTGTCTACTAGATCTTGTACTAATAAATCTATTAGCAACAATAATGATAATAGTAGTAGTAATAGATTAGATATCAAAAATACCTTAAATGTATTAAGTAATGCAATGATGGTGGTAGTCTTTTCTATAATAAGGAATAAATAAACAGATAACCAACAGTTACTCATGCACTCCCAACACTCCATAGATACATGTAGTAGAGTAAATTCAGTAAAACTCTACTATCTTGCCCGTAGACAAAGCACAATAGCACACCCAGGAATAATGGAGTTACCTGTATATTTTGTGTAATTGTTTTTTGTCTTATAAAAGTGCTGGATGACGGGGGCATATCGGAATGATCGTAATGTACTATGAACATCTTGACAACAGTCTTGTTAGGATTAAATAATGTCTAATAATAACAATAATGATAATAGCAAAATTATTATTAATTATTGTTATAATTACATACCAATTGAACAGTTCCTTTGCTTGGTACTTTATAACCTCTTCTACCTATGTTAGATAAATCAATGTGACCCTATTAGTGATAAAAAAATGCCATTTATAACTTGATACATTATTAGATTATTGTACTATAAATAGATACATTACTGTGCTAAAAATAGATATGTTAATGCTTTGTCATTCTTACAAAATAAGGAGATGTGCCATAAGTATCGCCAGAATCAGACAGATTAAAGAATGACGTAGTGACTGGTAGTGTCACATGATTTGGAATGAATGAACCACTTGCGCCTAATTCAGCTGTAAACCCCTATCAACCATAACAATGATATCTTTCTATTTAATAGTTTCAATTCTCATTTCATTCTCTCCCTTTATCAATCACACTACCCATAAACATCAGATTATCCCTCTCCCTACTCCTATTTCTCTCTCATTGTCTTCAATACCTCCACATATCCACATGGCTCTAATCTTCCATTAAGTACTGACTCCTAATATCATAAAAATAAGTAATATGTACTTCTTAAAAATTGTTAACAAACTTCAAAAGATCCTAACAGACAGAGATTAGGAACACCAGCAGGTAAAGACATGCTTCTAACTGGTGGCATAGGACGACTGACCTACACTTTATTTAGACAAAGAATTATCTACTATTGTACATACTTTTGTACTGAAACCCATTGATCTCCTTTTAAACCTGACAAATAAATGAAAATAAATAATCAAAAAACTAAATAATTGTATATATACCTGTGTACGTCTTGATGACACGATAATGAAGGTATCTATAAATAAGGAAAAATAACTAATTAACAATAACAATAACAACATATCTACACACTATTCACACTTAATTAAAAACCCCATTTCAATAATAACCACACGCACTGGACTAGATGAGTAGGTGAGTCTTGAATTACTGGTTGAGTCTCCATTTGCCGATATTCTATCAATCATTATTTGTCTTGAACGTAGTTTAACGCTTGAACCACACCCTACACTATCGACAGAAGTAGTTAGGGACAACTGTTTTAAATCTTGAGTTATGCTCTCGCTTCTGTCGACTCCATTGGTTCCTAGTAATGACTCGGTGTGAGGTTTTAGTCCATTCGTCGAAGTCTCCTCGTTCATTGTCCCTGATAATAGGAATTAAGGAACAATAATTATAACAAAAGAGAAGGTCAGTCTTACCATTCTCTTCTCTTCTATCCACGGAGACTGTAGGCATAGCCGTATCGGCCAGAGATGATGAAATAATTCTCTCCTTTTCTTTATTCTTTCCTTCACTATTTCACCATAGAACAGTTGCTTAGCAACTGTTACGTCATAAACACCTGATTCAATTACCACGCCCACAAATTAATCATAATGGAATTGATAACATGAATCAAATCAAATCAAGTCAAATCAGTACATCAAACAATTGTTACAATCTTTATTGTTTTTAACCAGGAGGCCATTCCATTTGCCTTCCTCCAATAACATGAATATGTAAATGATAGACAGATTGAGCTCCTTCTGTCCCATTGTTAATGACCACTCGATATCCTTTATCCAAATTCTTGATCTCGATAGCAACTTTCTTTGCAACTAGTAGCATGTGCCCCAGCAGCTAAAATAAGAAATAGCAAAATTAATGTCATTACTAGACCTGGGATCAATTACAAAACTTTATTACAATTGTACATTTAATTACACTCCTTTTGTAAAAAATACATTACAATTATGTTTTGTTGAAGGAATTTCGATTAAAAATAACATTTTGATATGTTTTTTGCATGAAACAGAAACATGGCTTGACTTTAAAAATAGCAGTTTAGCTGTCATAGAACAAGGATTTCCCATAAAAGCATGCTAAGTGAGCTAAACAGCAGCACACTTCATGAGCTGACAAGGAATGCTCTATTGCTTTTAAAGTAATTTTTAAATTCATAACAAATCAAATTTTGATTGGAATTGGCTCAAACTTTGTATACCACATAAGAACATGCATATGGTTTAGAAAAAAATGTAAAAATTAAATATTCTCTCCTTGTCAACTTTGATGAAAACTGACTAACGACCCTGTACTATAGTACAGGGACTTTGGCTCGATTTTGGAGTAATCTCAAAAATTTGTGAAAAATCCAATTTTGATTGGAATCAGTTCAAACTTTCTACGCAACATAAGAACATGTATGTGCATCAGATAAAAATATAAAAATGGAAAATTCTCTCCTTGTCAATTTTGATGAAATTTGGCCAACGACCCTGTACTATAGTACAGGGATTTTGGCCCAATTTTCGAGTGATTTAAAATTCATAAAAATCCAATTTTGATTGGAATCAGTTCAAACTTTTTACACAACATAAGAACATGAATATGCATGAGAAAAAGTTATTAAAATGATGAATTCTCTCCTTTTTATTTTTGGCAAAATTTGGCCAACGACCCTGTACTATAGTACAGGCCAGTTTGGCCTGATTTTTAGCAACTTTAAAAATTCATAAAAAACCAATTATGATTGGAATCAGTTCAAACATTCTACACAATATCACAACATGTATATGTATGAGAAAGTTATTAAAATGTTGAATTCTCTCCTTGACATTTTTGGTAAATTTGGCCAAAAATCCAATACTATAGTACAGGGACTTTAGCCCAATTTTTAGCAACTTTAAAAACTCCAAATTTGATTAGAATTGGCTTAAACTTTCTACACAACATATAAACATATATACCGTACGAAAAGATTTATTGACAAGGAATAAATATCGGCGATTGGCGGTTCTTTGAAGAAATTGCCACTATAAAAGCCGCCATTTTGTTTCAATCTGAGCATGCTCAATGGCACATGGCACAAAATCGCCAATATAAAATCCGCCAATTTCTTTCCAGAGGTAAATTTGCAAATATTACTATTGCCAATAAATCATCATGTACTGTATGCATCAAAAAATTACAAAAATTGAGAATTCTCTCCTTAAAATGGCAGATTTATATCAGCAGTTGTTCATCATAATCCATTCCTAGCCAATAATGAATAATCCCAATGGCACAGCATATAACTTATGTGCAATAATATGCTTTGATTTAAATGTAATACAAATAAATTTTTCATCATATCTCATGTCTTCCCGATGCATGCAATTATAAAATACTTACAATTTTTTTAACACATGGGCAAAACTTAGCATCAATATCTACAAGTACATGTAGAATTAATTTTTGTTATTTTTGCACGTCAGCAGGAATTCAAAAACTTTAACACATAATTTTTAAAATGAGCACACTTTAACTTAATAGACTAATGTGAAACTAAAACACTGTTAAAATAAACGAAATTTCAATGCTGCAAATATGTTATGGTTGGTACCTGTTCATCGTCACGAGTAACATCATCAAGTTTCGATATCGCTTTACGAGGAATAACTAAGAAATGAGTCGGACCTTGTGGAGATACATCATCAAAAGCAACACACTAAATAAAGAATATTTGTAATTAATAATAATAACTGTTATTATTATTTAGAATTTCTATCTCACCTGCTCATCTTCATAAATAAACTTGCAAGGTATTTCTCCTTTCAATATTTTACCAAAAATAGTATCACCCTCACCACCAGTTGCCCCTTGTGCCTTCTCTACTTCAGATGCCATGTTGCAAACTTTGGCAAAGATAAACCTAAAACTATAGCCACGCCTAGTAGGTTTGGCCTGGCATCAGTTGAGTTTCATTATTCATCAATGGCAGGTTACCAGATAACAAGAAGCACAGGAGAAGCTCAAGGTGGAGGAGAAGAGAAGACGTTTGATTCCATATACAAGATGCTAGTTATAGGAGACTCCAGTGTAGGGAAAACTACACTATTGACCCGCTTTGTAGAAGATAAATATCATTCGAACTTTATGTCTACTGTTGGTAAGGCGTAGATCAGTGAATGAGAGAGAGTTAAAGAGCTAGTGGTCCTTATTATTATTAATATGTACTAGGTATAGACTATAAAACCAAGATAGTTAAAATGGGATCAGAAAGAGTCAAGTTACAAATATGGTAATCACACACCCACTCAAGAATATGAATTTAATTCTAATGTTAGGGACACAGCAGGTCAAGAGAGATTCCGTACGTTAACCAATGCCTATTTCAGAGGAGCAGCTGTAAGAAACATTCATTATTATTGTTTATTGTTTATTTTGATTACTTGAAACTGTTATCATTCATTACATAGGGTGCTTTATTGTTGTATGATATAACCAACAGAAGTTCGTTTGTTAACTGTTCGACATGGATGGAGAGTGTAACACAAGTAATTAATACTAACCAATACTATTAGTGACAGTAATTAATATGTGTCATTGTCTACTGCCATTCAGTGGAGAAAATGTGCAAACATTAATGTATTCAATTGTGACTATGAGCATGTTTCATCTCTTCATGTATAGCATAACTAGCAAACAAAGTTGACTACTGTATAGCTAGAAACTTTGTAGTGTTAAAATTTGGCAAATTGACTTTGAAAGAGGTTTGGAGGTTGAAATTTTGGTGAAGTTTTAACTCTGCATGCTTCTATAGAACCCTTTCCAATTGGAGACTACAAATTTGGCGAATTGACCTCAATTTGACATATTCGCCAAAATTTTACTCCAACAAATTTTCTAGCTACATGTATTTAGTATTTGCAATTACAACAAATTACTGTAAGACTAATATTGTGTGCTGTAATTTACTGCAAGAGACTGTAAAACCTAAAAATATGTAAAATCTAAAAAATAATTAAATGTGTGAGGGAAGCAGTGTGCCCATGTCTACTTATAGTCTTATAATCTCGTTATGTTTACATTCATTCCTTTAGCATGCTTCGCCCAACATATGTGTAGTGATAGTTGGTCATAAATGTGACGCAGAGGACGAAAGAGTTGTCACTACTGCAGAAGGACTTCGTGTAAGTAATTATTTAAACTTGCTCCCTTTCTGAATTATGACACTCTTGATACTAATGAAGACTATCTATGTAGTGCATAAATAGTTAGCTTAATTGTTATCATTACTTTTATAGTTGGCAGAGCACTATGAAGCCGATTTTTTCGAAGCTAGTGCGAAGATTGGTCAAAATGTTTCTGATGTCAGTTGCAATGGAAAGCTGATGCTTTATTTTTCATTTATATTTTAGGTTTTTATGAAGTTGGCCGAGCGAATTAAGAAAACGCAGAGTTCCTCAGCTAATCAAGTAATATTAAATTATTTACATAATAACAATAACAATAATATCAATAAAAATAATAATAATAATTTTCATTGTGATTTTTATATTATAGAAAAGCAATAAAAACTCATCTGCGACAGATAGTAATCTTAAATTAGATCCATCAAGAAACAGACAGCAAGATTCAAATTGTAATTGTTGAGATTAATATAAAAATCACTATTATTATTATTATTATTATTTAATATTATTATTATTGTCATTAATATTAGTATAACGTATATTCATTTTTATGTATCTTCTTCTTCCTCCTCTTCTTCTTCCATTATTGTCAATTGTTTATCAATTTGTTGTGAACCTGGTTTGTACCTACCACTTGCTCCACCAAGACCTGATGGATTAAACGGGTTACCAGATGCTGGAGTTACCTTTCTCTTTGGAGGTGACTTTGGTCCTGGTCCAGTGCTAGTCAGTTGTTGTGTCCCTCCTGATGGCTTTAATGGCTGAATGAGCTGACATTCATCATCATCTTCGCTATCTTCAGTCTCAGTGTAATCATCTGAGTCAGATGAATCATGATGTGTCGTGTCTTTCTTAATTGCTGGCGCACGTAGAAATTCGTTGTTGTCTTTGCTATCAACTTCTTCGTCATCACTACTGTCAGTGAATGGCTCCAGTGTATTAACACTGCCTCTCTTCTCTGCTTTAAAACTCATTACAGCTAGTGGAGAGGCCCTCTTGCTAGCTGTTACTAATGGCGAGATACTCTTAACGTTTCTGTCTACCGTCAATTTTGTTGTCATTGTCGCTGTTGTTGTTGGGCTATGTTTGGTAAGACTGGTATTAGAATTTTCTGATTTTGTGCTATTTGAAGGTGACTCGAAATGATCCCGTAACTCTGATACATTTAAACTCACTGACATTTTGCTCAATTCTTCAAGAACTTCAGCAGTGTTCTCAATTCTACCTGATCTTCTCCTGGCTACTGGTGACACTCTCCCTCCTACTGGAGGCATTACTTCCAGTGGCTTTGGCTCCATTTCTGAGTTTTCATAATCTGCAGGTTTCTGCTGCATTGGTGATGGCACAAACTGTACTGTATCTACATTTGTTGGGCTAATAATTGATATTACCGGAGGCTCTACTACATCAAGTGATCCAGTGCTCTCTTGAATTGCATCATTCTTCTCTGTTTCATTATCAGGAGAAACCATTACTTGTAGATTAGGCTTTTTCTCAACTACCTCATTCTCAAAACTGCCTTCCAACACATTTCCAGATGCTTCCTCTTCTTTCTCCATCTCTTCATCAAGTAATTGTGTGGTGTCAGTATCTTCAAACATTGTTTCATCCAGTTCAAGCTCATTGTCAAGCATGTCAGGCACACTCAGTTTATAATGAGGCTTTTTATTTCCTAATAATCTACTCATACCTTCAAATGAAAGGTCTGGTTCAGATTTGAAAAGTTTGCCACTTCTAAACAAACGAAAGTTATGTAATCAAGTCCTGTGAACACAGAATAGGCTACATCTACTCACCTAACAGTAGGTTGAACCCTAATGGGTGAGAGAGCAAGAGCTTGCTGCTCATTATAAGTTAACTGGTCAGTCAGTCTCCCTTGTCTCTCCATGTCCTGAACATAAGGATAACTTGCTGTGCTGTACTTTGGATGGTATGCTGTTTTGGGTTCAGCCCTTGTTGTTGATTGATGCTGCCTCTGATATATGTCAGTTGTGCTTTGACTACCACAACACACATAAAACCTGTAAAGATATCAAAAAGTATACATTGGTCTTTATCATAATAGTCTTACCATACGCAAGCAACAATAGCAGCTAGAAGTAAGAGTATAAGTGTCACTGATACTGCAATAACGACGTTCTCGTTCACCATACTCTGAAATGCTAGCTCCCAGTGCCTATGGACTATACTGCTAGTCTAAACAAAATTCTGTCAGTTAAATGAAGCTTGTGACCACACATACACACGAACAACTAACAAATACATACATAGGCCACAGTCTATGAATATATACAGTTCCCTTATGAAGTCATGAACAACACACAAATACAGAGGCTATTCACAGCGATGGGTTCACTAATAGAGGTGTGGCTCGCTGCTGATGAGCGCTAGCTGAGCTGAGAGCGCAGCTGCAAACACAGTAGGTGTGACTACTGAGCCGCCCACACAAACAATGTCAGAAGTTCCAGTGACTCACACTTTTAAGATACTGGTTTTAGGAGACTCTGGGGTCGGAAAGACGAGCCTCATCAAGTACTACACCGACGGAGAAGCTTCTAAAAGCATACTATCAACTATTGGTAGGTTTTGCACCTGCTCTTCCGCTCGTTTCATCTCTCAAAATGTAGGTATAGATTACAGTGATATTAATGTCACTGTGAGGGGCATCACAGTCAAACTGAGAGTATGGTAAGTAAAGGGAGGCTCTTATTAGTTATTAGTGGCATTAGGGATACTGCAGGCCAGGAACGATTTCACACGTTCACAAAGCAGTTCTTTAGAGGAACTCAAGTTAGTTATTATTATCAGTGAGAGAGAGAGAGGGGGGAATGGAATGGAATGTAATAGCAATGAGTTAGTGAATGGGCCAGCTTATGTAGTGGCTTAATCATAATATGGCATGGAGTACAGCAGTTATTGTTATCAATATCTCTCGCACACACGAATCACTCCTTGTGTACACTCTGGCAATGCTAAAGGCAGTCATTTTAGTGTATGATACAACTTCATTGAAGTCATTTCAAACGCTTTCTGTTTGGATAAAGATGTTATCAGATGTAAGGAAATGTAAATAGTACACACTCACTCATTTTATTATACTTTCTGTTAGTTTGGGCTCACTGATTTAGATGCTGTGATAGTTGGGAATAAAAGTGATCTTCCTGAATCTGCTGTGCCTGATGATTTAGCAAAAGCAGTAAGTGTTAACATGAGTCTTTTAATTGTTGTAGCATAAGATTATCTACTCTTGACTTTAGCTATGATAGTTACAGGTTTCAGGTTGGGTTGTCACAGTTGTGGTTCAGAGTTGACATAAAACACAAAATAGAATTAAAATTTGGCCAAATTGGTGTCAAGTTCAAAGCGTTATTTGCGTCAAAAAAGTCAGATTGTCCACACAACTTATGCTTAAATGTCGACTGTAAACCAGGTTTAGATATTATGTACACTACATTTTAGCCTTTTCCTTAACTGACAGTATTTTTAAAGGTTCCCTCATTTTAAATATATTTTTATGCCAATTAATTGGAGCATTTCAAAATGTATTCATTATTAGAGGCCTACTTATCTCTGGGCACAAATTAGCTGCATACTTAAAAGTGTGCAGTGTAATCTCTATAATAACAAAGCCCTTAGATAAGTAGGCTTCACTCTCACTAGCCACATTCTTAAACCTATATCTATAATATAACCTCATCCATTACATCAGTTACACAAAACGAGACTTAAGCTTCATCTTGTGTTGCATTCTTTAGAACTGATGCAATGAGTTAAGTTATTATAAGCATAGTCTTGGACTAGCAATCGTGTAGACTGTTGTTCATTTGCTTATTGTTTTGCTTCCTATAGTTAGCAACAAATATAAGTTGTGATCATATACTAACCAGCACAGTAACAGGCTCCAACGTTAAAAAGGTAATACTATAATATACTAATGATAAAAGCAGTGACTATTATTATACATATAGACATTCTTCAAAATAGGAGAAGCACTGATACACAGTCATAATATATTTGCTCCTGGGCTAGAAGCAGCAGCAGCTTATGAAGGAACTGGTAATGAGCCACACAGTGGATCTGTTAGTCGTCACAGAGAAAGAATAGAGTCGATAGTACTATCAAAAGAACACTATGACAAGAAATCGAAAGAGAAGAAGCCATGCTGTTAAATAATATATAATAATATTATCCTTATTATTATTATTATTATCATCACTCTCATTATTATAGTGGCAAATATTTTTAAAAATAAAAGATAGCAGAAATATATTTACATAATATTTATAATGTTGTTGTGCTTTGCGTAGAATGTTTGCAGTGTGACAAAATGAAACAAAAACAAACAATAAAAAATGATGTCAGCAACACCAAGATGACTTCTTAACTTTCTCTTCTTCATCATTATTTGTTCCTTTGAAAAAAATAAAAACAAAAAATTTTACTATAATGTTTCTCATCTTATTTTGCTGTTCACACCTTCTCACTCCTTGTTAACACCTTGTTCACACGTAATACAGTAGCAGTGTATACTTAACTATACACATTCAGACGAGAATATTGTGGTACATGATTTCACAGTGCAAGTATGAAGGACATAATATCATATACACTGTAGCTGTACATTGAAGACACTATAAGTGGTGCAGTAATGTTAAAGGCTTTACAGCAATTTCGAGCATATTTAAAATATACACATTATTTTAGCTGCTACACAATTGTACACTTTATATTATGTACATTATAATACATGTACACGTACATGCATAAAAAACTTATGATGTTGACAGAAAACATCTTAAGGCATCCATTCTCTGCATACATAACTTACAAATAATTATTCAATACATTTACCTATTTTTGGTTCACATGCAACAACAACAAAAACAACACAACACTAATAAATATCAATAATAAATACTAATTACCTATTGAATCTGTTTGATATAAGTATATGTCTGCTAGTGCCTTTTCATTTAGTACTGGTAGAGGTGATGTGGTTGCACTGATTGGGAATGAGCTACTGATTGTAGTGGACATTAATAAATTATTATTGTACAGCTCAGTTATTCCTTGGGCCACTTTGAGAAATGCTTCTTTGACACCTATAGGAGTGTAGTGCATAAAATAGTGACTGAATGATAACCAGATGACATAAAGTATAGTAATAAACCAAATTACGATCAAAATCAGTTCAAACTTTCTACGCAACATAAGTACATGTATATGCACCAGAAAAAATTATAAAAATTGAGAATTCTCTTCTTTTCAATTTTGGTGAAATTTGGCCAACAACCCTGTACTATAGTACAGGGACTTCGGCCCGATTTTGGAGCAACTTCAAAAATTCATAAATAACCAAATTTTAATCGGAAGAAGATCAAACTTTCTACACAACATAAGTACATGTATATGCACCAGAAAAATTTAAAAATTCGAGAATTCTCTACTTTTCAATTTTGGTGAAATTTGGTCAACGACCCTGTACTATAGTACAGGGATTTTGGCCCAATTTTGGAGCAACTTTAAAAATTCATAAAAAATCAAATTTTAATTAGAAAAAGCTCAAACTTTCTACACAACATAAGTACATGTATATGCACCAGACAAATTATAAAATTTGAGAATTCTCTTCTTTTTAATTTTGGCAAAATTTAGCTAACAACTCTGTATTGGTCCAATTTTTGAGTAACTTTAAAAATTATAAAAAAATCCAATTATGATTCGAATCAGCTCAAACTTTCTACACAACGTAAAAACATGTATATGTAACAGGAAAAAATTATAAAAATGAAGAATTGGTTTTTGGCCCAATTTTTGAGCAACTTTAAAAATTTGACTTTCATTGGAATTAGCTAAAAAAATAAAGAATTCTCTTGTAGAGACTTTGCATGATATGTAGGGTTTCCAACAAAGTGTGCTAGCAAGCTTTTTTACAAGCTTATAAGAAGCTTAACACTCTATGGAAACTTGGATATTTAATTTACAATCAAACTATTAAAGCATTTGATCTCTTCCCTCTAAATTACCAATGTTTTCTGCAGCTGATGTTTCTGTGAACATTGCTCCAAGAGAATGAGCAAAAGTGGTACCTTTGTTCATAGATACTTGTCTGTTTTTAGATAGATCAGTTTTATTGCCAACAATACTCAGTGCTAATAATAAACAGATATTATTAATTTACGTTAATAAAAATTAAGTACTTACCCATTGGTAAATCCACCTTGCTCTGTACTTCTATAAAAATAAAATAAAAATTAATGAAAATGACAATACTTGTTTCTATTACCATTGACCCATAATTTAGCTTCATCGAATGTTTTTTCATTAGTTATGTCATACACAATCATTGCTGCATTTGCTTTTCTATAATACATTGGAGCCTATAAAACAACAACCAAAACAACAATAAACAAAAACAACAACAATGCAACTTAATGCTAAATAAGATGTTTTATAATAATAACATTTTACTGTGCTTGTAGTACTGACCATTGATCTAAACCTATGGGATGAAATCAAAGGAAAGATCATAGTTTTTAAAATAATTGTTATTGTAACCTTTCCTGTCCAGCTGTATCCCAAACTTGCAACTTGATTCTAAATCCAGCAAGAATCCTTTAATAATGGCATAAGAGGAAATGATGCAAACATTGATGAGAGATGGGAGACAAGGAGAGAAAGAGAGAGAAATATCAAAAAGAAACAGATAAATAAATACAATAAAATTGTAAAATAACTTAAAAAATTCACAAGATGTATCACTGAATAAAGCTACAACGAAATAACAAGATGAAAATGACAGAATGTACACAACAATAATGAAAGGTAAATTAATTATTACAGATATTAAAATAATTATTAATATTGCTAATAATATTATTATTTCATCATACATTTGTAAGGAAAAGAAAGAAGCACCAATCGTTGGACTGACATTCTCAGAAAACACTCCACCCATATTCCTCACCACTAGTGATGTTTTTCCAACACCTACAACCCGTAGAACAAACAATGAATTGTATATAAAAGCTACTACACTACAGCCTTTATATGGACTTGCCTTGAGCTCCTATTATTACAACTTTAGCCTCGATGGTTTTTAGACGGTCTCCGGTCTGTGGCACCGTTAAACTCTGGCGTCGAGAGGGGCTCTGAGTCGAAGAAGCGGCTGCCATAGCAGGCACTTATTTCGCCCTATTTGCTTTTCAAGAATTCTGCACAATAGTGGGCGTTACTCAGCCTAGCCCCGCCTTTTGTAATGTTTTAATTTGTTGCGTGGGTGGATTGTGTGTAGACTAGACTAGAGGTTAGGAGCATGTGAGTGTTTATTTAGTCATTATTATGCTGTGTCTGTGAATTAATTTTTAAAAATAAAAAAATAAAAATATTTAACATGACATGTCAACAAAAACACTTTGATTTAGACTGTGCATCTTCCTCCGGCTTACATTCTTCATTATCTAGAGAGAAACATCGCAAATGAAAAGAGAAAGAAATTGTGTGTGCATGAAAGAAAGAGCTCTCACTTACCAATGGATGTGGTTTGATAGAGATATGTAGTATGATGAGAATTATTAGCAGTAGGTGATGACAATAACACAGTGTCACTGAGTGGCCTGATACTCTCTGGCCTAGCAGCATGAGAATTACAATTGTATATTTCAATAATCCCTTGAGCAACTTTTAAAAATGCTTCTTTCACACCTATGAATCGTTATGAAATGAAAATAAAAACAAACAGTGTTATTTACCAATGTTTTGTGCAGCTGATGTTTCTGTGAACATTGCTCCAAGGGAATGAGCAAAAGTGACCCCTCTGTTCATAGTAACTTGTCTATTACTATCCGATAGATCAATTTTATTAGCAACAACACTAATTGCTAATAGTGGGAGTGAACAAATATACAAATAGTGCCATAAAATATACATGTACTTACACATTGGGAAATCAATTCTACTTTTAACCTCTAAAGTAAAATGCACTTAATGCTACTTGACTTGTTATTTTACTAACCTTTTACCCATTCTTTGGCCTCTTGAAACGATTTCTCATTATTAACATCATATACAATAACAGCAGCATTAGCTTTTCTATAATACATTGGAGCCTAAAAAATAGACAAGGGAAAGAGAGAGAGAGAGAGAGGAGTGGGAGATAGCGGATGGGTAGCAAGGATATCAAAAAGGGAAAAGAAAAAATAAAAACCAAATAAATGTGAGAGATCAATCAATGTCATAGTTATTACTAACAATCGATCTGAATCTATAAATAAAATATAACATAATTAGATTATAAACCATCGTGGGAAAATACTTTTCCTGTCCTGCAGTGTCCCATACTTGTAGCTTGACTCTATAACCAGCCAGGGTCCTACAAAAACACTCGATGACTCACTAATGTACATATTGCCACATACACTTGTAATGAGAAGAAAGCAGCTCCTATGGTTGGGCTGATATTGTCAGAAAACACACCTCCCATGTTTCTGACGACAAGTGAAGTCTTACCTACGCCTATTACAGATTAAGTAAGTTGTTAATACATTGTTCTTCACCTTGTGCTCCTAATATAACGACCTTTCCTTCAATAGACTTCATACTGTCACCAGTCGGAGGAGGTAAAGACATTGAGAGAGACATTGTGACTGCAGTACCTCAAGCGGCAAGCCACACCTTTTTTTAATGACACGTGGGTGTTGCTTTTAATGAAGGAGTGGCTCGTTATTAAGTCTTGGATTTCATTTTCTCAAGGTCTTTAGTTTATGATGATCTTAAATGATAATGAATAAATAAGCAGATGAAGATATTAATATAATAATACAGATATATATATAGATAATTATATAATTATATTTTTGGATTGATGGAAAGTATGTCAAGTGGTATTTTATTCCGGTTAATGATAGAAGGGCCAGCCTTTCTTGCTTGTTTAAAGCATTGTCCTGATTTTTTAAAAGATGGTGAATGTTTTTTCTTCCTATGACTTTGATTATTTTTAGTGATCGTTGTTGTCTGGATGCTACTTTCTTTCTGTTCACTCTTTTCAGGTGTAGGAAACAATGTTCCATCTTTTGGCATTGAGAAAGAGCATATGCTCAAACGATTGAGTGCATACGATGGCAATTCTCTCGAAGTCTTGAGCTTATTTTTCTTCTCCGCCCACTTCTTCAAATTATTCGTTACGCTCTTTCCAGTTTTTAATGATGATTGATTTCTTGATTGAATTCTGGAGCTATTAATAGATACATTCTTCTTCTTTTTGGTGACAGGTCTTTTCATTGTAATACGTTTACGTTTCTTCCTGACGACCATGGATTTTTTGCTTTCTAAAAAATAGATAATATAGAGCATTGCTGCCGGTGCTACACTATAGTATACCATATAGCTCCAAATTTTCCTCAGTCAAAAATTTTGTCAAAATTTTAATTTCTGGTTAAAATTAATTTTTGTCAATTTTTATTAATCCACATACTACCCATGTGGAACAAAATCTTCGACGGTTAAAAATTTTATCAAGCAAAAATACCTGACAAATTTGACAAAATTTTTACGAACGAAAATTTGGAGCTATACAGTATTGCATTGTTATTTTGTTATTCATGGACATGTACATGTACATGTACAGTGCATGTATGTGCATTTTCTACATAA